ATTCACTGACCACCTAGTGACAAGAAATAAGTTAAAAAGTTGAGGATATTACGTTTATATTCCAACAGGCTAGAGACTATGTCATGTGTATGTTTTGGTAGGTGCTAAAAGCGTTAACACAGGTTATTTACATACTTGAATAACCTAGTCAAATCTAACACAGTTTGACACATACTCTTGGCCACTCCAGTCCCCATATTCTCTTCCTTCTAACTCTTATTGCACTTATTACCTGGATTCGGAAAATTAACATGATGTTATGGAGTTTGGCTTGTTCTCTAGTTGTTTTACACAAACATATTTTATCACACCTAACACTGGTACCCTCGGTTTTATTCCCTTATACTATTTCTCCTTCTTTTCTCAATTGGCTCCTTCTTCCGTGGTTACAAATTTCATCAAGTTTCCCTTACCCTAAAGAATTTCCTTTGTCCTTGTTACCATTTCAAGTTTCTGTCTCTTCTCTACTTCCAATGACCACCAAATATCTCCAAAACTTCCACACTGCTTATCTCCCCTTGACTCTGGCCCCTAATATTTATCTGAGATGGCTTTTCAAGGTTATTGGTATCCTCCTAATGGCTAAACTATCTAGCCTTTTCTTAGCCTTCTTTCTTCTCTTCAGCATCTCTGCAGTATTTGGGACCACGGACCACCCAGTCTATTATTAGCCAGCTCTAACCTGGTCAGATCATGTTCTCTCTCCTGCGTGAGCAAGCAGGAGCAACAATATCACCCTAGACCACAGGTTGGCAAACTATGGCCTCTATGTTTGTAAATAAAGTTTTTTTCTTGGAAACAGCCCTGCTCTTTTGTTTACCTATTGTCTAGGGCTGCTTTCCTGCTACAGACACCATTTGGCCTACAAATCTTAAAATATTTACAAAAAAAGTTTGCTGACCCCTGTCCTAGATCATCTTTGAAAAGTCAGCTATGGATGAGGCATTCCTCATTTGCAGCAATCTTATACTCCCATGACTTATGAATTATCTCTAGTTAACAGCAGCAGCACCGATAGCAAATGGACACTGTGCTGAGAAGTATGTGTGCTATATCTCATTTAATCCTCACAGCGAACGTGTGACATAGGTATTCATCATCCCCATTTTACAAATCGGTAAACTAAAGCTTCAAAGGATTCAGAAACTTGCCAAAAGTCACAAAACTAGCAAGTGGTGGGGCTGAAATTCAAATCCAGGCAGCCATAAACTAGAGCCTGTGATGTTAACTGCCATTTCATCCTATGCACCTCGGGGTTTCCAACATAACTTCTATTTTATCTCAATATTCCAGATCTTTCTAGGCCCATCTTTTAATGTGATAAGGATACAACTCTAAGCATCTCTGTCATATATTCTTGGCTTCCTATTTCCTCCATGGTAGGGGAAACCTGCTTGGGGAGTTGTTTTAAAGCTATATTTGCATAGCAAGTATACTATTCCTAGTTAGATTGTATACTATTTGGAGTGGCTTGGGAAGTTGATGGAGATGACAGGAAACGGTAGTACCATCCCACTTCTCAGCCACCATGAAAGAATGAAATGGTAAGCTCCTTGAGGGTATGAGCCATATATTACATGCTTTTCTTTACCCCAAAATGAGAGAGTAGATATTTAAGAAATATCTATAAAAACCTCTCAGGAAGTCCTTTTCTACATCTTCTCTCCGAAACCCCATGCAGCATGTGTTTTTAAAAAGCTGATTAATTCCAATAGAAGGGTTCTTCCTCAAGACAAATTCCAAAAGGCAGTACTAATAGTACCTTAAAATGAATATATCATTTTATAACATACAAATGCATTTAAATGCATTTCCTCATTTAATCTCATTTACTTAAGGAATGAGACACAGGTATTAGCACCCTTTTTCAGATGGTGACATGGAGCTTCCAAAAGGTCCACCAGCAATTCATTTCCCGTAGGAAAATCATAAAGTATGGCACTCAACTCAAGTCATGACATAGGGAAGGAGCATACACAATTTTGGGAGATTTGTTTAGAAAACTAGCAGAGTTTACCATACCTGATAAAAGCCCAATAAGTAGCATCAACAACCAGCCAGAAAAAGCATCACTCACACTGTGAATTAAGGCCCATGTTGACTCTTTGCTTTTATTGGTAATCTAAGAAGAAATGAGAAAACATTGGTAAACTCTACACACACCCTTGCTTTTTCACCTCAAAATGCACAAGAGAGTAAAGAAACACAAAGACAAATCTATTCACTGGGAATAGAGACCAATTTGAAGTTACTCATCAGTAATCTTGGGCTGAACCAATGTCACCAAGAATTTTGAGGTTTATTGAACCTTGAGTACTAAACCCCACCTTCAACTACAATCCCTACAAGTATCTTATTCAGGTCTTCTCCATTTAGTGGCTTATTTCTTATAGCATCAATTTGTTTTGCTTATTGGAGTGGTCTCTTTCTGCTCTGGACATCAGATATTCCAAGAATGGTCCCTTGACTCACAGTAAATAGTTTGATTATTTTTCAAAGAATAAACAAGTATAAGCTTATTTGAGTGGTGAAAGTACAATTTGAGGTTTACTATCCAGAGTTGTGCTTCAGGTAAGGCAAATTTCAAGACTTGATCTCATAAACCCCTAACTGTACATTGATCACAGATACTAAATGATATCAGGAATGCATCTCTTTACTTTCAAAAACATACTGGGAATATTTGAGGCTATCAAGAGGTGCAGAAAGTTTTACCTTTTAGGTCCTAACCTTGTCAATTTAACCCTTTTCAGTGCGTACTTCCCCCTTTTCTGTGCCTCTATCTCTGATTTTTGAAACTGTAAAGTAGCTACCCCATGATCATCTACAGCAACATCATAAATAGTTATAATAATTATAAAATTTTTAAAGTAGTTAAAAATTTCACTTCAATCTATAACTTTAAGTTTCCAGTTCAGTGCGGAAAGTAAATGAGGTGACATTTTTTTTCCTGTGACAGTGTTTCCATTCTGATGATGAACAGTTAATGCTAAAATAAGAGTCCCCCTTGAACATTTAACAAACACATTTTAATTGTTTTTGCTATATTATTAATTTGTCTCAGATGCAACCATTTTAATATAATGGGAAATATGCCTTATCACAGGTGATTTTCACAATGTAAATAACACTGAATATACAACCGATGATAAACTGAACTCTGAATTTCAGAGAGCAGAAATTCTAAAGCCATACAATTCCAAATTTTAAAGTCTGATGAATTGGTAGGATAGACAGAAAGAATATGTATGTGTTCCTAAATGTCAGAAACCTTATGAAAACAGAGAATATTTTATAGAGATAATCTTTTTCATAAGGATAAGAAAATTCAGTGGGGTTATCACAAGTCCAAGGATTACAAAGGAATTTCTCAAAACCTATACCTAGGACAACCTGACTCAGGGGTTCAGGTGGTCATGAGAAAACCAGTCAGGACCTGGGAAAGGCTTAAGAATGAAAAGTGATTTGTTCGGGAGATTCACTTGGCTCTAAGAGGAGGAAATCATGAACTCAGGAGAGAATGGGATCAACTTAAAAATCAAATTTTAAATTTGGAGTCAAAGCAGAAATATTAAGAAGGAAAAAATAATAATACCTACTTTTGGTTGAAGAAATGTCTCCCCAGAGGATTACCTACTGAATCAGAGCCACTGGGGATGGAGCCCTATCTTTTTAATAAGTTCTCCATGTGCTCCTGACACCAACTAGAAATTATAATTCCCTCATTTAAATAATACACAGCAACAAGTTCAAGGCAAATGACCTTGGTAGAATGCTCTGAGAAGTTTTCAAAGTACTTTAAAAAAAGAAAAGTGGGGAAATTCTCGTTATATTCAAAAGAAGTTGTATCGCAGCCATAAGTGCCATCTATTACATATCATATTAAATCAATATCCTTAATTTGAATTTGATTGGTCTTGTGGTTTTGTTTGAGTCGAACATACAAATTTATTTTGATTTTGTACAGGAGCTATAATCACATAAACTTTGTCCTGTATGCTTTAGTAAATACAGGGCTCTGAGAATTTTTTCTTTTATTCTTTTGAAAGGAGTCGATTTTCTTCTCTCTGTTCTAAAAATCCAGCTTCAAGAGAAAACCATAAAAGAGAGATAAAATGGGGAAAGAGGATCTTTGAAATTTATTTCAGCTCTTCCCATCAAGCTTGTTTTCACCTATCTGCATAGGCATTTATACCCATTTTAGGACTCGAAGGATCCTTTTCAACCACTTTCTGTAGGAAGATAAACTATCATTAAATACAAATTCTTTTCAAAATTAGATACAAGATGCCTTAAAAGTAAAAATAAATTATAAAACAAAACTCTACATTGTCAATAGAAACCAGATTTGGTCACATCCAGAGCTGAAGGAAAGAATACACATAAAGAATATATCTTCAACTTCTTCCCCTGTTGTTTCCTAACACTTACTCATATACCATCTTTTGTCTTACCTCTCGATGCCTATCCCGATCTCGAGATTTCTCTCTCACCCAATCAATGGTATTGAAATCATCATAGGTCCCCACACCAGGGATTGGCTCCTCCAAGAAGTCCATCATTCTATTTGAAGAACCTATTCCTCCACCATTGTATGACTTGTCCTCTGTTTTAAACAGCAAACAGACATTAGTACTTCAGACACTAGACATTTTTAATAACTCCTTTCTCCACACCAAAGGTGAGTCCTTAAACTACCAGATGACTACAGTTAGGGTGTGCTGACAAAGCAATAAAATCAATCACTTAGTGAGACTATCCATCACATTCAGAGGTTTCTGTGGTCTAGGCACAAAATGAGTGTCTTAAGGCAGTGTGAATGGAAGGGGTCAGATGAGAGTGACAATACAAAGGGAGAACTGACAGGACTTGAAGTGCAGTGGGAAAGGATTTACAAAGCAAAAGATAGGAGCTTGGAGCAGCTTAGTTATTTCATTTTATGTTATGGAAAGGAGACAAAAGGGTCAAAGGCCTTTGCAGACATATCACAGCAGAAAGCGTTTTATATTTATGAGGCAGTCATTCAATCCTAGGAAGTGGCTTTTGCCTGAATGGAGACTCCAAAGAAAGCATGTAGGCCTTTTCGAGAGTTAAGCTGGCTGGAATGTACATATCTCCCTTCAATAGATAGAAAACTTTGATACCTGATGTAATGGGCTTGTAGAAACTTTTACTGAGTACGTCAGAACAGTCTAAGATTTACAAGTAGAAATTTAAAGAACAGTACAGGTCTCCATGATGATATCCCTTTTTGATCCTTCAACTGTAAGAAACATATCTATTTGCCCAACTATCACAGTCCTTTATCTGCTTCACTTTTAGCACTTCTATTACAAATACTTATGCAAATGCTTTATCTTCCTTTCTAGACTAGAAGTTCTTTGAGGGCAGCCCTAGATCTGTTTCATCATTGCCTTCTCCATCCAACATTGAACCAAGCATTGGACCACGACTCAATAAATATCAGCTGAATCAAAGTTTCTTTGAACAGTAGTGACAAGGGAGTATTCAAATTCAGAAGTTGTACTCATACAAGGTTACTTAGTACTGCTAAACAAACTTGTTCAAAATATTTCCACAGTCCTCTGGTGGAACAACACTTTGCTATTAAACACAAAATGTAAAACAGCATTCAGGTATTTATGCAAATGCACACTGAGGAAAAATGCAGAGTAATGCTATCATTGAACTCAAACAGCCAGAGCTCACATTTGCAGCATCAACCTTGGCAGGGACAAAGCTTTCCCCAGACTGCTTGGTGATGAATCCCACTGCAGAGAAGACCAAGGTGGGACTGAGCTCACCTCCTCTCCCCCTATCTGCATCCCCATCTTCACTTTAAATTTCTAACATACAACTTCAGCACTCTCATAGGGTCGGTTTGAATTAATATCCAAGATGTACTTGCTTTACAAATTTGAGTCTTCCAAATACCTAGTTCAGCATACCTTTCACAAGCTAACACACACATTTGAAGGAAAATGCTCTGCAGAATCCAAATTATATTGAGGGTAGGGCTGGGGGTAGGGTTGGAGTGGAGGAGGTGAACAAGTTAATCTTAAAACCCCTAACCAAAGTCCTTTCTCTATCTTCCAGCCTACCTGGCTGTAAAATGGTTGGCTGCTGAATCACCAGCCCAGTATTTACTATCATGTTAGTGGCATACTGATAAAGATCAGTGTTAGTGTGCTGTTTGAGAGCTTGGAGGGAAACAGCCAGCTAGGAAATGAGGGCAGAAAGAAAATAAAGTATGTGAGGAAGAAAAAAAAAAAGCTGTTTCAATTCTAAAGACAAATGCTGACGTGAACACAAGGTGCCAAACAATCAGAAATTTACTTTTAAGAGCAGGTTAATGCTTCAACTGAATTTGCTCTAGTTTAAGAGTGCTCCTTTCAGAAGAAATTTTAAAAGGATTTTGTGAAACTGACCAACAGCTATCTAATGTTACACTATATATCAAATGAAGCCCACCCAGCTTAAAGGATATTAAGACAAAATGAAGATCTGCAACAGCTTAACAGAAAAGAAAGAATCCTCTTACATCACTAGGTAACATGAGCACTGCATCATCCTTCTTTGTAGTCTCCTGTTATAAACGCAAATTGTCGGGCAGCTCTAAAAGAGCAGGCAGTGATTAGAATCTGACAACAGACTGCTTGTGATTCTCCAGATTCCCTTCTCCCTTGGGTCACGTTTTGGTCCCTCTCCAGGCTCAAGTATGCTTACCTTCAATCACAGCTTTCTTTTTTTCTGCCTCAAGGAAGAAATAACCTTAGCAGCCCACATTTAGTCATCTAGGTTGAGGAGCTTTTACAGAAGGAGCCCCGGAATGAACTGCTTTAGAAGGGCACTTGCTGTGTTCTCTGCCTTTCACAGGAACAAATGCCACCTAAAGAACCACCAGTGTTCCCCAGCGGTCAGAGTATGATGTCACTGTTGGAACCACGTGACCAGACCCTTGGACTAGCCTTGGAGAAAGGAAGATTTTTAAGGGAACACAAAAGCCTTAAAGATGTAGTCTCATCTAAATAAATACCATCAAGCTGAGGGCAGTCAGGTCAGTTCAGAAAACTGGGGTCCATTTCCATCTGACTTATTTCACTTAGCGTAATATCCTTAAGGAAGGACAAAAATAATATGCTATCACTCATATGTGGAATATAAAATAAAACAAAACAAACAAACAAATAAAATAAATTATAGGTACAGAGAACAGACTGGTGGCTACCAGAGCGGGAGTGGGAGAGGGAGAGGGAGAGGGAGAGGGAGAGGGAGAAATAAGTAAAGGGGGGGTCAAATGTATAGTGAAAAATGGAAACTAGATTTTGGGTGGTGAACACACAATAGGATATACAAGTATCAAATTATAATGCTATACATCTGAAACTTGTATGTTATAAGCAAATGTTATTACAATAAATTTTTTTTTTAAACAGACTGGGGTTCAGAGAAGTTTTAGTCTTCAGATCTCATTTAGCAGAAAATCCAAAAAGGAAGAAATCTCTAAAAGCATTTAGAGCTACATGGATCCTAAGTAAAAAAGGGAGAGAGGCAAATATAGAAAAGGTTTTTTAAAACATGCACTGGATAGAAATAACAAGGATAAAATCTCACAGACATAACATAGACATAATAGAGCACATAACATGATGCTATTCATACGAGATCAAAACCATGCAAACCTAAATTATAGTTTTTGTATAGGATACAAACACAAGCAACTACATTACAAAGACAAGAAAGAAAATGACAAAAGTAAAGACAGTGTCTACCCAAAGGAAAAGAAGGGGTCGTCATCTGGATGGAGCACATGGTGAGGGTGGGGCTTCTGGAATGTTGGTAATTTTTCTTGATCTGAGCATTGATTACCTGAGTGTTGACATTATAATTATTCTTTAAACTGTACACATACGTTTTATGTCTTTCTATGTAAACATCATAATTAGAGAAAAACATGAAAAACTGAATTGCACATGAAGTGATTACACAAGGTCAGTTCTTTAAAAGCACATAGAAACTTTGAAAACGCAGAATACAGTCAAGAAAATTAGTTGTTTCTTAGTGTTAATGCTCTAGCCAGAAAGCAACATCAGATTTAATCTCATTAATCCAAATAGGGTAAAAGTAGTTATTTCAGCCGTGAAAATAAAAATAAATTCACTGCTACATTTGCATTGTTTTAAAGGCTTTTTCTTCCCAGGTCCTATTCTGAAGGCTATTTTTAAGCAGGCCTTAATTAATTGTGCAATAAGGCCAGTATAGTGAAGAAGAATCAAACTGCCATCTCCCAACTTCCTAAGAGACTCTACAGGACAGCCACTGTTTAACATTAATCTAGTCAGTGTGCTCCAATAATCAGACCTAAATGGGGGGCTCTGAAATGTTGGGGTACTCCTATCAATTCTTAAGGCCCAATGCATCCTGATGCTAATACAACAAAACCTTAAAAATGTGAAGAGCTTCAGGAAACCTGTATGCTTTCAGTTCGGTCCATCATTATTATAACATCTCAGTTTCTTGATGAACTTAATCTAGCATTACTGAGAAGAATTAAAGTTGCAACTGATAGTATTGTGGCAATGAACTACAAAGCTTAAACTGCAAAAGCTATTTGTAGCCCAAGTGTAACTGTCTTATACATTTACACTTTTAGAAAAGGATATTATCTTAAAGAGGATGACATGTCCAACTACATAATCTTTCTTCAAAGTCATTCTTTATTAATTAGGATTCTACCTATAGGACCACTACAGAATTCATTTACATTATTTAATAAGACTTATGTTACCTTACTAGGTTATTTTACATTTCAAGATGCTAATTGGGTTTTTTTGGTAACCCAAAAAATGTATAGTTGAAGAACATACAGTGACTGGATTGGAAAACTAGTACCATGTTAATAACTTTTGATTAAAGTTCTTGTGTTTTTCAAATGCTACATCAGTGTTTCTAGAGGAAGGAATTTTATTCCATGTAAATTTACTTCTTTTGAAAACTAGAGGGATGGTAGCTATGACACAGTCCTCATATTAAAATGGGATTTAATTACAATTCAGATTAAGTAACGAAGCACTGGTATTCAAAGTCTGACATGTTACAATTTACTTTTTAAATGTATTTTTATATTTTAATTACAGTTTGCATATGATACTGTGTTTCAGGTGTACAACATAGTTATTAGACATTTATATAACTTATGAAATGATCACCCCAGTTAATCTAGTACCCATTTGACACCATACAAAATTATTGCAATATTATTGACTATATTCCTTATGCTATACTTTATATTCCCAAAACTATTCTGTAACTACCAATTTGTACTTCTTAATCCCTTCCCCTTTTCACCCACCCCAACCCCCCTCCCATCTGACAACCCTCAAAATGATCTCTATATCTATGAGTTTGTTTTTGTTATGTTTATTTTGTTCTTTGGATTCCACAAGTGAAATCATATGCCATTTGTCTTTGTCTGACTTACTACATTCAGCACACTACCCTCTAGGTCCATCCATCTTGTTGCAGATAGCAATATTTCATTCTTTTTTATGGCTGAGTAATATTCCATTATATATATGTACCACTTCTTCTGTATCCATTCATCCA